TGTAACAATATTGATCAAGTCTAAACAATGTTTAAACTTGACCGCAGTTACCACTTTTTTCAACATATCAGTAGGATTCTCAGTGGTTCGAATCTTCTGGATTATAACTCCACCTTCTTCTAGAATCTCTCAAACAAAGTGATATCGAACATCGATATGTTTCGTCCTTGCATGGTAAACCTAGTTCTTTACTAAATGAATAGCACTCTGACTGTCACAATGCACTGAGATGTGATTATGTTCCATTCCCAATTCACCAAACAACCCTTGAAGCCAAATTGCCTCATTCACAGCCTCTGTAACTGCCATATACTCTACCTCTGTAGTAGACAAAGCCACTGTTGACTGTAAGGTGGACTTCCAACTGACTGGTGCCTTTGTAAATGTAAACACATAACCAGTAGTTGATCGATGCTTGTCCAAATCAACTGCATAGTCTGAATCACAATACCCAACTACACACTGACCATCTTGTTTGTCCTACTGAAAGACCAAACCAACATCTACGGTGTTTAGAATATACCGCAGAATCCATTTCACAGCTTGCCAATGCTCCTTTCCAGGACCATGCATATACCTGCTCACAACCCCAACTGCCTATGAAATATCAGGTCTCGTACACACCATTGCATACATCAAGCTACCAACAACACTTGCATACGAAACCTTTGACATGTATTCCCGTTCTGCATCATCCTTAGGTGACATGGATGCACTGAGCTTGAAATGAGGAGCAAGAGGTGTACTAACTGGTTTTGACTTCTCATTCATGCCAAAACGTTATAGTACCTTCCTCAGATATTCTTTCTGAGAAAAACAAAGCCTCCATAATTTCTTATCCTTTGATATCTCCATGCCTAGAATCTTCTTCGCTTCACTAAGATCCTTCATCTCAAACTCCCTGTTCAATTGAGTCTTTAGTTTCGTAATTTCTGTCTTACTCCTGGAAGCTATCAGCATATCATCAACATAAAGAAGAAGATATATATAGGATCCGTCTTGTAGCTTGCGTAAATACACACAATGATCATATTTGCTTCTTGTGTACTTCTGCCCTATCATAAACTTGTCAAATCGCTTGTATCACTGCCTTGGAGATTGCTTCAAACCGTACAATGATTTTTCTAATTTGCACACCATCTTTTCTTTTTCAACAACTTTGAATCCATCTGGCTGAGTCATGTAGATTTCCTCATCCAAGTCTCCATGTAAAATGCAGTTTTTACATCCATCTGAACTAGTTCCAAATCTAACTGCGCTATCAAAGCCAACAAAATTCTGATGGAGGAATGTTTCACAACTGGAGAAAATACTTCATTATAATCAACTCCCTCCGTTTGAGCGTAGCCTTTAGCCACCAATCTTGCTTTGTAGCGGATTTTATTCTTGTCAGGAAATCCACCTTTCTTTACATATACCCACTTGCACCCAATTGCCTTCTTTCCCTTCGGAAGACTAGCTAGTTTCCACGTCTGATTCTTTTGAAGGGATTGTATTTCTTCATTCATGGCGATCCTCCACTTTTTATGTTCTGAACTTTGGAATGCTTCATTAAAAGTGGCAGGAACGTCATCAATTGCAATTGGTGATGCAAAAGAGACCATATCAGCATAATGAGCAGGTTGTCTAATGGTCCTCTTTCCCTTTCTGAGTGCACTTGATTCATGTTGCTGTGGAGGTTCTTGGGTCTGAACCTCTTCTTCATCTGACTCTTTTTCTACGATAAGAGAGTCAACATCAGTTTCTTTACTGGCTGACATAATTCTGCTTCTTTCAAACTCCAACTGTTTAGGAGTTCTATCTGTCTGATCCAATTTTTTTGAAGTCACATTTCTCAACATGGTAGATTCATAAAAGGTAACATCCCTGCTGAAGATTATTTTCTTTGTTTCTGGACACCAAAGACGATAGCCTTTCACACCAGAGGTGATCCCCATAAAGATCGCCTTCTTTGCTCTTGGATCCAGCTTTGACTCCTTAACATGGTAGTATGCAGTGGAACCAAACACATGTAAGGAATCATAATCTGTAGCAGGTTCTCCAAACCATTTCTCTAATGGTGTTTTACCACCAATAGCAGTCGATGGTAAGCGGTTGACAAGGTGACAAGCATATACCAAAGCCTCAGCCCAAAATTCTTTGCCTAACCCAACATTAGACAACATACACCGAACCTTCTCCACTAATGTCCGGTTCATGCGCTCTGCCACCCCATTCTGTTGTGGTGTAGATCTAACAGTGAAATGCCTGACAATACCTTCTTCTTCACAGACTTTCAGAAATGGATCATTTTTGTACTCTCCACCATTTTCTGTACGGAGACGTTTTATTTTTCTGCCTGTTTGAGTCTCCACTATCTTTTTCATTTAAGGAAAAATCCTAGCACCTCATCCTTTATCTTCATTGTATACACCCAAACTCTCCGGGAAAAATCATCAACAAAGGTGACATAATAGTGTATTCCTCCCAATGAAGTTGTCTTGGAAGGCCCCCATACATCTGAATGAACATAATCCAAAATACCTTTAGTATCATGGATTGTTGTTCCAAATTTCACCATCGTCTTCTTCCCTTTGATGCAATGCTCACAAAAAGCTAATTTGTAAAAGCCCGAGCACCCTTCAATAATCCTTGATCTATCAGTAATTTCAAGGATTTTTCACCAACATGCCCCAAGCGCATATGCCATAACCTGGTTGCTTCTGACTCCTGTTCATCAGTAGAAGCTGCCACTGCTGCTGTCCCAACAATTGTACTACCCAGAAAGTAATACACATTGTTTCTTTTCCGGATTCCCTTCATTATCACTAGTGCACCTGAGATAATCCTCATAATCTCATCTTTTGACCTCACTTCTAAACCTTTTGACTCTAAGGTTCCCACAGAGATGAGATTTCTCATTAAATCTGGTACATAATGGACACCTGTTAAGGTTCTAATTGATTCATCCTGATTCCTCAAGCGAATTGAACCAATCCCAAGTGTGTCAAGAGGGGAATTATTTGTTGTGTAGATAATTTCACATTTTAGTTGTTTAAAATAAAATAACCATTCTCTATTGGGGGTCATATGGTGGCTACAAGCTGAATCTAACAGCCATGAACTGGAATAGCTGGTTGATGGCGTAGCAGCGAATGCGAAATCTGAATCTGCATCATCATACTCGACCACATTTGATTCTGAGATAGCCTTTCCCCTTCCAGGTTTGCCTTTATTCTTTAACCTGGGACATTCTTTCTTCTAGTGCCCTTTTTCTCGACAAAAGGCACATTCATCTTTGCTCAATCTGGACTTTGACTTCGATCTACCTCTTCTTCCTTTATTTTGACTCTTCGAACGACCTCTAACAACAAGAGTTTCTGCTTCGACACTTGTGTTTTCTTGTTTGTATTTCTTTCTCAATTCATAACTATACAAGGCAGCAGTTACTTCACTGAGAGACACATCAACCTTCCCACGAAGTAGAGTAGTTTCAAGATACTCAAACTCATCAGGAAGTGATCCTATCAACATCAGAGCCATATCTTCGTCTTCAAAAGTCACGTCCATATTCATCAGATCAGTCACCAGCTGATTAAAGCTAGTAATATGATCATTCATAGTGGTGCCTAGTACATAGTTGAAGCGGAACAATCTTTTTTTCATGTAGAGCTTGTTCTGACCGTTTTTCTTCAAAAATTTCTCCTCCAGTGCCTTCCACAATTTACTTGTAGAAGTTTCCTTAGAAAATACATACTTCTGCTCTCTAGAAAGACACGATCAAATAGTACCACATGCCAATCTATTGATCCTCTTCCATTCTTTCTCATTGACATCATCTGGTTTCTCTCCTTCAATAGCAATGTCTAGACCCTGCTGAAATAGGGCATCTAGAACCTCACTTTGCCACATGTCGAAATGACCGGTGCCATCAAAAATCTCCACTGCAAATCTAACATTTGTCAGCATTTCTTGCGGATGTTTTTGTGTTCTGCTACAAACTCTATTTAATAGCTGTCAATGCGGAATGTCAATTATCCCAAAGAAATTTTTTCTGATGTGGAAGATCAGCCTAAGCCGCAACCACAGAGCATACTAAAATAAACCAAGAGCTCTGATACAAATTGTTGTGGAATTCGGGTTAATTTCCACCAATAATAACAAATTCACCTTGAAAAGTATAATCTAGGTGACTAGTGTGAAAACGATTGTACTAAAAATCACCCAAGGTAGATTCTCAAGAAAGAGGAGGGGTCACAATGGTCCCTCTTAAAACCCACTTTCCTTAGACAGAACTACCAAGACAAGTAATTTTAATAGGAAAATAATTAACAACAACTATACCCGACAATAACCATTAAATAGACATAAAGAGAACACCAAAATTTAACGATGTTAGGCCAAAATTATGCCTATGTCCTCAAACACTACTAAAATAATATTTCACTAATAGATGAGATATTACAAAGAGAGAGAAAGAATACAAATAGCCTTTAATATAGAAGAATGCTTATATTTGTGGGATACTTAACTAAGGAGGAGGATGAGGACTCTTTTTATAAAAAAAAGAATTTTTCCTCCTCCTTATACACAACCAATGTGAAATTTTGCCAAAAACCAACATGTACTACATTAAATAGATAGATCCAGCCATAATTTCTTCTTTCCATAACTATTTGTTACTGCTGTAAATAAAAAGATATCAACCTTAGATTTATCTAACAGTTAGCTTGCAATTTTATGTTTATTCATTATTTATTCAATGAAATGGAACTCAAATTAAAATCCTGTCAAATCAATAGATAACATCAATCTGGCGAGAAGTGCTTGCATTTCAATCTTATACGGTACAATAATGAATACAAAATTACAGTGTTAAAAAATAATTTTCTTTTTACAAAATTTAATGAATAAATTGAGATATATGTAAAAACAACCGTGGGGAAAAAATGTAGAAGTAAAAATAGTTGAGACAATGTGACCTCCTCAATCATTGTTTTCGGACATATACCCATGAAACAGGCAAAGTTCAGGTCTTTTTCTTGATTCCAAGTCTAACAGTTAGGGTGGAGATGGATTGCTTGAGATGGTCAGAGCAGGTACGGTGGTAATCAATCAAGAGACAAAGCTGCCTTATGGCTTCCCTCTTTTCTTCTTCACGAACCAACAATGTCTCATCTTTTTCTTTGCTCATCTTCTCCAATTCTCTCACTTTGTTCTCAACCTCACTCATCTCTTTCAACACTTTCAACTTCTCTTCTTCTCTTTCACTCAACTTTGCTTCCAAATTCATCACTTCCTTCCTTAACTTACCATTTTCGTTTTGCATTTCTCTCATCTTACCCTCAACTTCACTCATGGCTTTCAACTTCTCTTCTCATTCTTCACTCAACTTGGTTTCCAAATTCATCACTTCCACCGTTAACTTTACATTTTCCGTTCGTAACTCTCTCATCTTTTTCTCAACTTCACTCATGGATTTCAACTTCTCTTCTGCTTCCTTACTCAACTTGGCTTCCAAATTCATCACTTCCTCCCTTAACTTGTCATTTTCCCTTTGCATGTATCTCATCTTTTCGTTAACTTCACTCATGGCTTTCGACTTCTCTTCTCCTTCCTCCCTCAACTTGGATTCCAAATTCATTACTCTCTCCCTTAACAACTCTTCCTCATCTTCTTTCTGCATTTCTGCTACCAATACATCCACACTACTCTTCATACGTTCTACTCTGGTTTCACATTCCTCGTCTGTGACAATCGAAATGGGGGTCAGGAAATTTCGATCGTCTTCTAACTTATCCATCGTGATGTTTTTTCCCGACTCCATCATGTCTCTCAACTTCTTGAGCTGCGCTTCGAATGTGGCCACCTCTTGTTTGAGAGCTTCGTTCCCGGCTTCGAGTACGTCCACCTCTTGTCTGAGTGCTTTGTTTCCCGCTTTAAGTGTGACCACCTCTCGTCTGAGTTCTCCGTCTACCTCTTTAATTGTGGCCACCTCTTGTCTGAGTGCTTTGTTTCCCGCTTTTAGTGTGGCCACCTCTTGTCGGAGTGTTATGTCTTCCGCTTCAAATGTGGCCACCTCTTGTTTGAGAGCTCCGTTTCCGGCTTCGAGTTCGGCTACCTCTTGTCTGAGTGCCTTGTTTCCCGCTTTAAGTGTGGCCACCTCTTGTCTGAGTGCTTCTTCATCATCTTCAATTGTGGCCACCTCGTGTCTTAATGCTTTGTTTCCCGCTTTAAGTGTGGCCACCTCTTCTCTGAGCTCTCCGTATTCCTCTTCAATCGTGGCCACTTCTTGTTTGAGTGCCTTGATTTCTTGCTCAAGCCCTCTTTTCGTTGTCTTGTAAACCTCTGTGTTCTCATGCTGTATCCTTTCAACGACTTTGATCCTCTGGTACAACAGACGGATGCTATCATCGATTTTCTTGCGGAATTCCATAGCTAAATCCTCCATCTTTCTTTCCAGGACATGGAAATTAAAATTGTTTCCCAACGACAACCGTCTGACCAGCTTAGTTTTAGGCGGCATGGATTTGCTGGTGCTCTGGTCTTTCTCTTGTGTTGTTTGCAGATCAGTAATCGGCAACTCAAATGGGCTTTTCATTATGGAATCCAACTTTGGTTGCAGACGATCAACCTCCACTTTCATCTGAGCAGCTTCGTTAAGCATTTTACTTTTATTGTCCTCCGGAAAACCAGAACACACTGGCTCACTCTTTCTTAATAATGTTTCCAGTTCTAGAATTCTAGCATTCAGTTTACGTTTCTCATCTCTCAAGGTACTGATTTCACGAACATTACTCTTCACTTCGTCTTCTGATTTGTTCTTCTCTTTGCGTAGGGCATCCACATCGGATTCCAAGCCCATCACCTGCACCTGCACCTGCAAGCCTTCTTTTTCTTCTACCATTATCTGCTCAGCTGCACTTTTTCTTGCTAATTCCTCTTTCAGGGTTTTCTCCTGAACCAGATACTGGGAAATTTCTTTGGATTTGGTATGCAGCTGAACTTCTAACTCCTCCTTCATTTGATTTACCTGATCAAATGACTCGTTGATTTTGCATGATATACCCCTTTTGGCTTCACGTTTTTGAGCACGTAAATAGTCCACTTCTTTTTGTAGATTACTGACCCGAGCCAATGAATCCTCCATTTTTGATGTTAAACTGTTTTCATTCTCCTTGATTTTGTTCAAGTGTTGAGCCACTACTTCCTCTGAGATATGCTCAACCAGTGCCTTGCTTTTCTCTCTTTCCTGTTGCAGTTCGGCTGTGATGCCATTAATCTGAACTTCCAACTCTCTTCTCTGGTTGTGCTGAGACTCAAGCTCAGTTTTCAAGCCAAAAAGTCTCTTTTTTGTCTCATCCATTTCGTTTCTCAAATATCCATTCATGGTTTCTATTTCTTGAATTTTAGTTAAAGCAGCCTTATGGTCAAAATCCAGAGCTTCCTTCTCTTTTGTCCTAGAGGCCAATTGATTCTTCAAGTCAAAAATCTGTGTGTATGCTCCTCTAAGTTCATCCTCCATGTCCATTGACCTCTTTCTGAAGGAATTTCGATTCGAGTTAATTTCTACATCCTCAGAGGAATAATATTCTGAATCTGAGTGTTTGCCATGTTTAGAACAACTTGCCTCTAGTCCTTCGCCAGCTTCCATACCTAGACCTTGTTTAAGATGATCATACTGAGCGTACAGCAACTGGTACTGTTTGTGAAAGTCTTCCACAAGTCTAACAAGTTCTGTCTCCTTCTTCCCTCTGTTCCTCCTCTTAACAAATTTCAAGATTTTTTCCACTTTCTTATCAACATCTGTAAAAAAAATATACTTCGGAATCTATAATCGACAGGTAAACGAAGTGGCATATGCCTACGAGAAGATGAGGATGACCAGAGACGCAGGCAAGATATTGTTTCTGGGGTGCAAACCTTTAGGAAGTAAAACCATACTAAAATAACAGGAAAATGGTCTGTTTTGAGTGAAAAGCCTAACAACAACTAATAAAACCAAGTGTTGATCCAATTGATTTTAGGAATTCTAGATATCAGCAAGGTGCACATGATTTTACAGGAAATGAAGTTTATTGTTTTAAAGAACCTGTTTTATACACATTCACTTGCTCCATCGTTTTGAATATCAGTATAACCCTCAGAGGTCTTTCTTCAGTCTATTGCGTCGTCTCCAACATGAAAATTTGCAGCAGATTTGATTAACGAATCCCCGAGCACAAACAATGCAGTTCCCCTCGCAAACACATCAAACAAAATCTCTGGAAATAAGTTCACATAACACTAATGAATTATGTTTGACATTGCTCCGTTTAAACACAGGAAAGTCCATAAAGCATGAAATCATAAACAGTTCGGAGGTCACTACTTTTTAGATGGTTTACTGTCATTGTTCCTCCCTCTTCACTAACATGGAGTGCAAATAGAAACAAGAAAAACAAAACTACTCGAAATTCAATGTCTTACCAAAGACATGCAATGAGGCATCCATGTTAAAATCTTCAATGAATACGTTTCACCTGTCTAGAAGAATTCATCTCTTCTATTTATATATAAAATTACAATCAGAATCACATAATTTTAATGTACATAAAGACTAGAAGAAATCAATAAAACAATCAATAAATCAAAATATAAATATAAATAAACAAAACTTGAACTTGAAAACCGAAACAGTCATTGAAACGAGGACTCATTGACACATTAAATCATCAATGGAAGTATTGCATAGTCAAAAATCTAAACAGAAGAAGTAAATTAGCCAACCATTTTGGAAACACCTATCCAAAATCAGCGTCTCCAACTATAACAATCATAGCTAACAAACAAAAGAAGGGGAAAAATCTTTTATTGCCCTAAACACATTTTATACATCTAGGAATCTTCCTTCCTCTGAGGAATCTAACCTAACAAGCAGCATAAGGATTATTCTAATGCATAATTTTATATGATTATGACAATGAGGCCCACGAAGAAAAATAGTATCAAAATACAAACAACTTTTCATATTTCCCCCTTTAAAAACAACTACCAGTCGACATCACTCTCATTGCAATTTTGCACCCACAGCGTCGCAGCAATCTTAATCCGGTGATTAAGATTACGTATACAGAATCCAATTCCGAGTTCAATCTAACAAGAATCATTATATCAGAAAATGTCATGCAGTTTTTTCGAAATGAAAAAAGAAGAAGCTGTATTTGTTCCATTTTCGTTGTAAAAGGAGGTTCTTATTAACAGGAAACAACGACAATGAAAACACGTCTTACCTGGGAATTGAAGGAGAATATTCTCTCTGGCCCCTGCAGATCAAAAAAATAATGGCAAATGAATTTTTTGTTTTGGCGCTTCTTTTTAATATAAATTCCCTTGGATTTCGCTTCTCAATTACGCTCTAATTGATTGTATTAGCCAAAAATAATAATGAGATCATTTCATTCATTCATTGCCACGTGGATGATGTCCCGCGCTTTCTTTTTTAGTCTTTTGTCTTGTCTTAATTTAGATCTTTCCTTGGGTTTATGAAACAAGGTTTTCAATGGTCTTTCGAGTAAAAAGAGTAAAATTTTATATTAAGGGGTTGAATTTTTAAACTTTGAAAATATGATAAATTTATAAAATATTTGGGAATAAAAACATATTTTCAATGAAAAATATATAAAAAAAATTTAAATATATGATTATTTTAAATTTTCATAAAACGACTGTCTTCATCCGTCCTTTCGATCTATCTCTGATTTTAACAGTTTAAAGAAAGAGCACGTAAAAAGGTTAAAGGTGGCTTAGGGAAGGTGTTTGATTCACTTTATCTAAAGATTGTAAGATGTAATTTTAAATTTTAATATAAGATTATAGTATTTAGCTTATTAGCGATACAAACAAGTTGTAAACTCACATTACAGACTAGATGTAATACAAGATGTAATCTCTTAATTATTCATTCCTTAGATAATTTAAGATTACATACGTGATCTTAAATTTATGATTAATTTATCATTTAACTTTTTTCATGTTAGTCAAGTTAATTATTTTTCACAAGTAATTTTTATTAATAATACGAAACGAATTAACTAAATAAAATGTAGCTCTAAATAATTTTATATTCTCCTAAGTAAACATCATACTCCTACGTTCCCATAACAAAACATGTATGCCCACATTCAAAGTGAGTCAAACAAAATAATATAATATTCTCTATAAATATATTCTACAATCTTACATTTTATGATCTTATTATCGGATGAAATTTTATATTTCGTGAACCAAACATACCTTAAATCTTTAATAATGTGTTATCATCGAAAGCTCGTATCCTTTGCCAAAATGCTTGATAAAATGCCTGCAACCCTGTTCATATGATTATGGCGATTAATGGATGCTAAATATAGTACAATGATCCTACTATTGTACCAAAAACTACAGGATTATGATTAAAACTACAAAGAAAAAGGAAAAGAATCATCTGTATCAATCCTGTTGATGATTATGGTGATTTACGTATGCTAATCCGAGGTATCACCAACTGCTAATCTTAGACGATCGGTGCTCAAGGACATGGTAATTACTTTCGACCGACTTTCTCTCGTATTCTTTACACTCCGACTCGAGGGAATGCCGGTTGGGCACACTTTCCATTTGGTATCCCTGCAATTATTCAATAAATTCTTTTGTTCTGGTTTTGTTTTTTCTTTTGTCCTGGTGTTGGTAAATTTTGGCCTGAACCCTTTAAGGCCTTCACATTATTGTTTTTTCTTCTTTTGTAAACTTTTATTGTCTGGAATCTTGGTGAAAATTGATCTCCTTGGTGGGGTTGATTTGAAAATGACTGACCTTTTCTCTGGAATCTCGGAACACGCCGAGTTTATATCGGAACTAAACGATCTTACACCAGAAGCCACAGATTGTGCATCACTAGAGGCTAGCAATGGATCCTCAGCCACTGTATTAATCTCAACTCTGCAAGTACTTGAGGATGCTTCATTGCTGTCGCAACCGTCTTTCGGTTGGGCCCCGGAATTGGGCTTCGACTTGAAAAATGTGGATTGGAGTCGCCACCGATCATTTATTTAAAAATAAATGGGTTGATCGGATACCCTATTTCTTACCTGATCTACGTCTTACCAGAAATATATCGGGCTCGGGAGTCGGTTACGGTCAAGGAAGGATTAGCACCCTTGAACCGCCCTTTCGGTACTACGTAATTTCCAGTTGTCTTAATTAAGAAAAATAACAAGTTAAATTAAAAGGTAAAGTTTCGATCCTAATTACTTACCCTTGATTGATTTGAAAAAAAAATCGAGAAATGTGTTAGATAAACAAGGTAAAGAAAACAAATAAGATACAAGAGAAAAATAAAATAAATAAAATAATAAGTAAGATAAGAAAAAAATAGTAAAGTAATAATTATATATAGTAATATTTGAAAAAAGGAAAAAGAAATATAAATATATATATATATATATATATATATATATATATATATCAAAGTATTAATAAAATAAATAAGCTGTATATGTACATCAAATACTTAAAAATAGAAAAGTTACCCTCCCAATTCACCGAAAGTGGGGCTTTAGTAAGAAATAAGACAAAAATGAGCCCTCTAGGTTAGTAGTATAATATAATGTTTTAATAATAATGATAAAGACACAAGGTTTTTTTTTAAAATAATATAATAATAATGAATAAAAAAAACGAAAATAATAAAAATAATATAAATATAAAGTTATAAGATATATTACATAAATAAAGAAATAATCAAATAAAAATAATTAAGAATATATATTTAATAATATGTATATAAATAAACTATTAAAAGTATAAAAAATACATACGACTAGATAAAGATAATTATAATATATATATAGTAATATTAGACTTATAAATAAAATATTAAATAAATATATATATAATAATAATAATAATAAAATATAGTAAAAAAAATCAAATGAAAATAATTTAATATATATATATATATACATATAATAATAACATGAATAATAAAAAATGAATAAAATATCCATATAATAAATAAAGAGACTAATATAGATTTTTAAAAAACTCTTCCCCTCCTTTAACCGAAAATCAAATCGGTTTTTAAAAATAAGCCTCGGGGTAGATCTAGGTTCGAAACATCGAAACCCCGCCCATTTTGGTCATCGGCGCAACCCATGTTTTGGGTTATTCGAACCAAATTTCAAGAAAAATAACGTGCACATTCAAAAGAAAGAAAAAAGAAAATGCTACATTTTATTTCCTTTTCGAATCCTTTACAATAGCTTTGCCTTTGTATCTTCCCGTGCTTTCCTATGTGTTTTGTGTGTAAATCGTGTCTTACAATGGTGAGTTACAATGGCTATTTATAGTGCTTGTGGATCCTATCTTTAGGAGTTTAAATCATAAAATTCTATCCTATTTTTTGAATCCTAGCAAAATTCTATCATATCTTTAGGAGTTTGAATCCTAAAATTTTATCCTATTTTTAGGAGTTTGAATCCTAGTAGACGAAAAATGTGTGTTGACAGCTGCCCCTCTTTGCCTATAGTCGTGTAACGGGGATAGGGCAAAGATTAAAAGACACACTTTTCGTTCAGTGGAGTTGAAAATTAACTCTGATGTTTCAATAACTCCCTGTCGAATTGAGTTACGGATGACTCCTCCATCGTGAAGTCGAGTTCATCTTGAAATGATATGAAATTAAAGCCGTAGTTCGAAATTTGAATCAGCACGTGGCTTCTCGTTACCCTTCGGTCTTCTTCTCGGTTTAAAGACCTTGGATCGGAATAGAACTGAGAAATCTTCATTGACAGATAGCTTTTTCTTGACTTAAGCTATGCTGTTTGAAAATGTTTGCTTGTCACTAAGGCACGGCTAACCCAGGTCCTCTCCTCGACTTGAAAACCTCGACTGCAACCGGAAAGTAGTGCGATTGATGTGTCATCGAGCTGAATGGAGTCGAACTCGACAATTTTGATGGCAAATAATCCTTCTTTGAGTTGGATATCCTTCGTCGTGAAGTTGAAATCCAAGTAAGTAGCATTGTTCCAAGTCCAATATCCTCCGTCGTGAAGTTGAATTTGGCTCTGGAACCGGAAAATTGTTTGTTGACAACCAGCCG